GTGATATAATACACATAATGTTCTTGTATTGCTATAATAAAGGGATTAGATCTATTTGATGTCCTACAACTATATATCTCTACTAGTACGTACCGATCATAAACCCTTGTACCAACGCCGGATGAAGTATCATACCAATAACATTTAAATTAAAATATATATACGTATATGTTACCTTAATAATTTTAATTAAACTGGGGCGACAATCTAACCTTACCGCTAATTATTATCCTAGTCATCATTCTTACGAGTTTTCATCTAAGTCTTTATTGACATCCGTTTTAAATTCAACATCATTCTCTTCATTAATTTCATACCCTCCTAAATCTATTATTGATCCAAGTTGGATCGATCAACGATTGACAACCAATCGCACTCGATGCACTTCGAGATAGGATATGTGATATAATACACATGATGTGTTTGTATTGCTATAATAAAGGGATTGGATGTATTTGACGTCCCGAGACTATGTACCTCTACTAGTTCGTATTGATCATAAACCCTTGTACCAACGTCGGATGAAGTATCAACCAATCATATTTAAATAATATGATTCTTTTGATTGGTAATGCAAGATACTCAAGTTCTAGTATATCAGTCAACCTACCTTAATAGTCATTTTTCTTAACACCGTAATTAACTCTTTTTATGCATATTCTATTACATAATGTTGTTCTATTTCATAATGTATCTTGGATACGATGTTACCGTTCGTAAGGGCCTTTTTACGAGATCTTTAATATAATGGTCGATGTCGAGCTAGGTTGTGTATTACTTACTTGTAAAGTTAAAATCCATTCCTTACTCGTTTGTATAACATTTTATCATTGCATCTTACTAACAAAATGAATTCAAAATTTATAATACTCATATATCGACGAAACCATAGTGCAAAATCATTTTCAAGCTCGAACCTCATGCTTTAATTTTTGGGGTTTACTTTGATGAAGTTGGCTAATGAAATAGCTATCAAAGGAATAATAATTTTTAGACTTTCAATGTCTTTATTATAGATCATTGATAATTAATGAAGTCGAGTATTGAAAATTTTGCTAATTTTAACACTTACTTAGTATGAGGTGTCACCTCAACGCAATTCAATAGAATATAAGTGTAGGATGCAAGCTTTTTTTATTTATTTATCAACATATGTGATTTTGCTCGTTCAAGAGATTGACCTTTCGATTTGAATATGGAAAACATCCCTTCAATGTCATCAATTAATTCTTGAGCACAATCAAATTTATGTGGCACTTTTTGATGCTTGGTATGTGTATGAGGCTTGAAGTAGTATGAATAAAACATTGACACTTCTTCCACTAAATATACATTGCATATTGACTCTTCAACTCTCGCTTTGATCTTTATATTGTTTTTTAGTTTTCGAAAATACTCGCATTATGTACGTATGTTAGTTAACAAATTTTTTTTATAAAAAAACTTAATCAAGGATTCAAAATCAATATCTTCATCTTTAAAATGGATATATCCATCGATATTGCACTAATCCCGTTAATTTTTCTTCATATTCCAAGTGGACTAGAAGATATTCTATTGAGTCAAAGAAACTCGATGAAAATATGACTTTAATTTTTCACAAAAGTAAAGGTATCTCGTATCTCGAAATGCCTCATATCTTTAACCCTAAAGATAGTAGAAGTCAATTCCTTGAAGAATAAACTCAACCCAAGTACGTGCTTGCTAAATATTTTTCGGTAATAGGTCACCGAATGTGACATGTATTAATCTCTACATCAATACATGACAATCATGACTCTTCATGCCAAGCAATCCGAGGTTGTTTAAGCCATCCAAGCATTTGTATTTTTTTTTTTTGTTTAGAGTGTAACATGGTTTAAAGTTTTTTTTTCTAGATTTTTCATCTCTTTTTAATTCGGCCACCAATAATAAAATTTCAAGAGAGTTGGCATTGCCTTTGGTTTTTCTCGATACACTCATAAATGTATTAAACACATTGTTGAAGATATTTTTTTCAATATGCATCACATCCAAATTGTATCGAATTAGATTGAAAATTTAATATGAAAGATCCTAGAATATACTCTATTTCTTTCAATCAAAAACTCTAGATATACTATTATTACACTCTTCGAAACTATCTTTCATGACTTTTATCAACCCTTAATTTTCTATTTCATGCAAAATATCCGCTCCAGATCGGACCGAGCGAGCAATGTATGTGACAATTGTATTTCTTTTGGAAACATTCTTGTTCCTTCTAAATGGATAACTTTCTAGCAAAAACTTATAATGACTTTCAAACCACGAGGTCTTTCTCGTCATTATGGAGATCGAAAGTATCATAATTTTTTATGCAATAAGGGAATAATGTTTTATTTAATCTAACCGGATAATATAGAATATACAAGGAAATCACTCGAATGTCCATATGACTATGACTCACATCTAAAAGATTCATCATAGGTAACCACATCAACTTTTCACAAATCAACAAACTCTTTAATCAAGGGTTATAAGTACACATCTTGGTTGATTTTTAGATTTTTCGATCCTAGAAAAATTAGAGTTAAGAATATATATTCTTTTTCATATCCTTACATGGTGGAAAATTATAAGAAATTACAATTACATGTCATGAAGAATATTATTGTCCGGATGGACAATAAGGTTGAAACCCATCGATGTAGACTCCCAATTTGACGAGTCTTAATCTTTGATGCAAAAAAAAGGATGTGTTTGATAAAAATATCACCATGCAAAGTAGTCGAGCAATAATGCATAACATCCGCCTCAACTTCATGTTTAGTGTGTTATTTCATGTCATTAGTTATGACATTCGATGCATACATCTTTTGTAACCATATAGTTAAGGAAAAATAGTGTTTTTTTTTTATACAAGACTTAAGTTTCTCCAATCAATCCTCGCCTAGGACTTTAATATCGAGGATGGTTATAGATTTTACAAATAATTCTCTCATTGTCGTCACCTTAATAAATCATGCAATTATTTATATTGTTAAATTGGTAAACCTATCATTTTTATCAACTTTTTTGTACCGTAAAAGTCTTCTGCGCAGAGTTATCAACATGCTTCAACTCTTTTATAAGTTGATATAAGTCATCATAACACATCTTCAAAAATGATATTTAAAATTCAAGAGTAACAAATGGGCCAATGTGGATAACTCGTGAGTGATTTTCTAAACTTAGCCGGATCTCTCTATTGGATGCATTCAATCATAAAATGCCCGGACAATAGGATTTGGGACTTCATCGGTGTTAGACGAAATAAATGATGGATTGGTCGCATCTATCACCATTATGTGATATGGATTGGGTGGATGTTCATCAATGATTTTTTCAGCTTCAACAAAATTTCTCAATTTATCACCATAAACCACCGACTCACTTTCTCCATGACATCTCCACAATAATACCTAGACACAAAGTCATATCTCATCAAATGGTACTTAATTGTATCGGGATTTTCATAACTATAGTTCTAATACCTCTTGAGTTTACAAGGACATCTTATCTTATTTTCATTCATACACTCGGGATGACTACGGTTCCGACACTTTTACAAACCATCGTTAAAAATCGACACCATCAACTAAATTAGCTACGATTTACTCGGACCGTCTCTAATTCTTGTTATTTAGCGATGATTTTATAAACTATTGTTAATGAACGATCGCTATTCCTCTATTTTCTTGTAGTGATTTAAACAAATTTATTTATATTTAATATATTAAATCGATGCAAAAAATGTGTTTTTTTAAATACTTTTTTTTAAAAAAATTCAATTGACGTTTAAGCTTTACTATTTGTCGTCGAACGAAAAAAAAAAATCATAGAACTGCTCATGATCAAGTGCTCATTCCTAATAATAATAATAATAATAATTACTATTATTTGTTGGATGAATAAGATCCAGGATTTTATTAATATGAAAGGAAAGTCAGGAAAGGAAATATTACAGACTAGAAAAGCCAACAAGCAGCTAACGATAAGGTCCCAGGAGCAAAAAACACAGAAACGAGACCTTAAAACAGCAAGACGATCCGCTCGACAAAAATAAAAACAAAGAGATCCAGAACTCAGGAAAGACAACCAAACAGAAACAAGAAGAAGCAAAATCCCACGTAACCAGCTGCCTTCGTTACATATCTTAGTCTAAACGTCAGTTAACTTTAAATAATTCTCATTTTCTTCTTCGCCTATCATCTAAGAATCCTAAGGATGACATTTGTTATATAAGCATTGCAAGTTCCTAACCATTCTTTGTTTCCTAAACTTCTCAAGGAAGAAGTTTTAGTCCGAATGGAAAATTTCTTTATATGGAAAAAGTTAAAAAAGTCCTTTCCTAGATGGGAAATATTTACTGTTATTTTTTCCTTAACTAAATGACGTGATAGTTGAATTTAAAGATTAAGATTTAACTAAAATCTAAACTTGCAAAAAACATGAATGAGCTCACTTAATTAACATTGATGTTTATTTTATTTTATTTTATTGATTCATTGACAGGTCTGTATACATCGGAGTTTTTTTTTTAAATAGGGTATTTATAAAATTTATTTACAAAAATAAAATTGTTTTAATCTTAATTATAGTTTTGTCATGTAGACTAAATCTTCTACACATATGAGTTTTTTTAATGCTAACAATAAGCCATTTAAGACATCAGCTTTATTTTTTCTAAAACATTATTTATCATCCTAAACTCTACGTTATTCATCTTCTTTTTACAATTGAAAAATCGCTTTTGTTTTTTCAATCTTTGCCATGGCTGGTACTGAGAAAGAACAAGTTAGAGTCCACATCGATTGGTTGATCATTTCCCAATTTTCATATAGGAAAAACACAGCCTATGTAGAGAGACGCTCTCGGTTGTTAGAGAAACATAGAATTCTGTAAAGATGGTTTTTTCTCCTGCAGCACTACCATCAGCACCTATTACTCTCTACCTCCCTAAAAAATGCCCAAATCTTCATTCTTGAAAAATTAGCAAAATGTCACCACTTCAATGCTCTTTATCAGTTTCAACCCAATCAAAAACACCCCAGTTTGATTTAAAGAATTATTGGACAACCTTGATTCAGGAAATCAATCAGAAACTAGACCAAGCCGTTCCTGTTGAGTATCCAGATAAGATTTATGAAGCCATGAGGTATTCTGTTCTCGCTAAAGGTGCTAAAAGAGCTCCTCCTGTTATGTGTGTTGCTTCTTGTGAGCTTTTTGGTGGTAATCGTCTTGCTGCCTTCCCTACTGCTTGTGCTCTTAGGATGGTAACAAAATTAATACCCCCATCTTTGAATTTTTTTAATTCCTTTTTAGTATTGTTTTTAATTTGGTTCGGTTTTTGAGTTTTTTATGCTGTTTAGTTAATTATGTGTGAATTTTGTTATATTGATTGTCATTGAGAAGTTAAGCTATTAGAGGAATCTGGCTGAAAACTCTAATCTTGAGTTTAGAGGACTGATGATGTTATGATGTCCAATAATACTGAGCAACTTTAAGGTTTTAATTGTGATATGTGATACAGATATAGTTCTTTTTTGCAATCTTTTCATTTGAAGAAGGATTCAGGGTGCTTCTCTTTAGGTAGAAATATTTTGATTTCAATTTGTCGTGCACAGCAGATCAGAGAGTAGCATTAAATTTTATATAATCAAGACAAATAAATCCATAACTATGTTTCTGATTTTCAAACCAGAATATGGGTTTCTTTTGCCCCTATGGTGTTGTTAGTGCTATACGATTGGAACGTCCAAATTTAATATTTTTATTTATATTGTGGAGGAGTGAGTTTATGGTGATGAGGTGAGAGATCTGCTAGGAAGATTGAACAGTATGTGAGTAGCAATTAAGTTTAGATTCAATAAATGGAGGGAATATTTAACTCTCTCCCCATTGCTTAACCTCAAAGGTTTTAGCTGAGTGTGTTTAGCCAAAATGAGTGATGTATATACAAACCTTAAGCATGTGCTCAACTCTGTATCAAAGTGCCCTGACATTAGTGAACCAAATTCTAGTTAATTTCTGCATAAAGCCCATATCCCTCCACTTTGTGCTCCTTTTCGTTGTATCTTATGCAGCTGGCCATGCAGGAGCTATTGCTAATTAAGTATTGACATCTATTAAACTAGTGTATCACTGCATGTAAGCATTAAGCAGTGTCTAATCCCTTTCACAAAACCAATTTGTACTGTAAGTACATAATCCTGAATATTTCTACTCAATGCAGGGAGGTTGAGAGTGTCAAGAAGCCTTTTATGCCCCCTCGAGAGGTGCATGTACAAGTCACACATTCCATGCCACCTCAAAAGCTCGAGATCTTCAAATCTATGGAGGATTGGGCTGAACATAACATTTTAGTTCATTTGAAGCCAGTTGAGAAGTGTTGGCAACCATAGGATTTTCTGCCAGATCCTGCCTCTGATGGATTTGATGAACAAGTCAGGGAACTCAGGGAGAGGGCAAAGGAGCTTCCAGATGATTACTTATCCTGACATAGCCTCTAGCATAATCCTTCTCCTTCAAGCTGGAGCTCGGGACATGGTTTAATCTCAAGCTGCGTTTGTGAGATTGAATGAGAGGTTTGAAGTATGAGGGAAATAGATTGGATGCATTGAGCAAGAATGAACAGAAAGAGGAGGCTAAGGGGAAACACTGAGATGCAATTCTATAGACAGAATGCAGTGGACATACATAGTGGGATGGAAGTTCGTCTTCGAATGTCTAAAGAACCAACCTGCAAAAGCTTCATGTGATCTGATGAGCATTTCAGCAATGTCTCTAGTTATTTGTACTCAACAGGATTTGGTCAAGACGTAGGAGTGATTTCTACTTTGATGAATTTGCTATGCTAAAACTTATTAACATCAAACTCGGTTATTTTATGATAATGGCATCCTGATTTGTTGCCTTTAATTTATCTATAATCACTATCAATGTTCTCAGAATATCTGTTTTACCCAAGGGAAACCATAGTAATAGTGCAAGTAATGTCAAACTTCATATTGTTGATCCAAAAATAATTTTCCTGCAAAATCAAACATATTGCATTCCATTTGATCCATTGAAGAACTTGCCTCCTGTTATATCATCGCTGCAGTAGCAGCTCCTCTCGCTTTCCCACCTGCTCTGCATATTATTATAGCGGGCCACATTTGAGGTAAAATTTGGTTACAACTTTCCAGCAGCATTGAAGGGAAAGGTTGTGGTCTGCTTTAGCTTTATATGATTCCAGTATTTTAGCAATGCCTCATGAAGGGAAAGGATGCCAACACTTAAAAGAGTATAATCCTTTTGCAGGCTGGTTCTTTAGACAGAAAGAGGAGGCTAAGAATGAACAGAAAGCTTTATTGTGCAAACACTTCTACACATAGACAAAGAAGAAAAATGCAATTCTCATCTTTGTGATTAGTAAAGCATTTGAATGCTAGTTGCTTTTTTTTTTTTTTTTTCTGCTCTTCAGAAAAACAGCACCAGCAGATTTTCAGAAGAAGACAGGAGAGAAAACATGAGCATGATACAACAAAAGAGAATGGGAGGAGCCAATACTAATCTTTTTAATATTGTTTGATGTGACAAATTAAGATATTGTTCGTAGCAAGAACCACACTGAGGACAGAGTTCTGAAACGTAAAAAGTTAAAAGTGGAATTACTTGACTTTATATATATATATATAAAAGGGGGTGCGTAGCAGAGATCAACATCTAATTCACTCAGGGATGGATGTAACGGGGGCTAGAGCCATGGTCCCACCAAAGTTGAAAACTTATCTCTTTTGTACAAATGCAAAATTCAGTGTGATATTCCAAAGAGTTTGACAAAGTGTTAATTAGGCTGACCTCAGGGATCTTGAATGAACTTCAACAGAGACAGTAGCAGCAGTGAGAAAATAAGAAAAGGACGAAAAAAGGGATTTTTGGCAGAGAGAATTTAAGAAATTAAATAAAATAAAAAATTTAAAAAATATTTTAATTGACGATATATATATGCTAAAGTATTTTTTTTTAGTAATTATGATTTTGAATTGTGAAAATATTTAAACTTTAAGAAATTAAAGTTAAGATAAAAAAAAATGATAGAGAAATCTTAAGTTAATTTTTTTCTTTTATGTTTCTCATTTTTTTAAATTATTATATTAAATATATATTAGAACACTTAATTAAAAAGATGTAATTAAAAAGATGGCATGAATGCTTACATTGTAAAACTATTTTTCTTTTATAAATAAAATTTAAAATATCTTATTTTAAAAAAATAGACTAAAAAGTATCTTATTTAGAATAAAAAAAGAAAACGTAAACATTGGATGGATTACCGTAATGAATTTTTTTTTTTTCATTACATAATACTAAGATAAAATAGAATCATTATACCTGATGTTTTTTCCTCTTCAAACAGCTCAATTAGTGTAATTAGTGTTTACTCTTTCAAAAAAATCTTGAATTTGAAGCTTTCCTTTTCAAGGAACCCAAAAAAGAAAGAAAGGAGGGACATGTTCCCATTAATCCTCATGGCATGTGTACCGAAAAAAGAAAAAAGAAAAAACTTCGCAACCGTGAAGGCAGAAGATGATCAAAGCACCAGCATTTATTTAACTGCATGCTTATGCATCAAGACATATAGCGAACAAGTACATGAAGCTTACAGGGACTGGCGTTAAAACAACAAGAAAAAAGCAACCACGTAAATGGAGTACTAGTGCCCTTAGGCCCTATGGCATATTGCTCTTACATATACACAACCCATGCATACATTCCATTTTATTCTTTATATTCTTCCTACTCTGTATAGGGCACTAATACGAATATACTGTCCTCATTTCATGGTTTTGCTTCACTCTTCTTCTCTCCACCATGTCCACCGCCACCATGTCCGCCGCCACCATGTCCGCTGCCACCATGTCCCCCTCCTCCATGTCCTCCACCACCATGTCCCCCTCCTCCATGTCCTCCGCCACCATGTCCTCCACCACCACGCCCCCCGCCACCACGCCCTCCACCGCCACGTCCACCTCCACCACGTCCCCCGCCTCCGCGTCCGCCACCACCACGTCCCCCGCCACCAGGCCCGCCGCCTCCGCGTCCGTCAACCCATCCTTCGTGCTTTTCTTCATTCACAGGGTTTGATTCTTCTGCTTTATTCACTGTACAAAAGTACAAAGAAGGAAAAAAAAAAAGTTTATGACCCAAAAAACAAGAGAGTTTCCCTACGTAAGCTATGCTAACGTAAAAAACACAAATAGAATAAAATAGGATTTTTGTCGCGTAATAATTTTTGACGTCTTTATAGAATCATATACTTCCATGTTTAAAAGAAACACAGGAGGTTATGTACTAAATTTCACTACTAATTTTGAATTATTGAATTCAGTTATAGATTTGATGAACAAAGACGAATTTATGAAAAATTTCAAAAATCCCCCTCGTAATTTTGATCATCAAATCTATCATTCACTGGCCTGTTGGAGTCTTCTTCTGCACAGATTTTAAATTAATACTATAAGAAAAAATGCAAAAAAGAAAAATATATTGAGCGTCTCATATATTACCATATTTTAATTGAAAATTTACAGTTTTGCTCAAAATATTAAATATCGGATATAAGAGATTTTTCTCACCTTCAGAAGTCTCGATGGCTACGGCTGAAGATATGAGAAAAACAACTGCACAGACTGAGAGGAGGATAATAAAAGCCTTGGAATTCATTGTTTCCTACTGCAAAACACAACTTTTGATCAGTGGCAGTATTTGAGAAGCACGAGAGTACCTGTTTACCCTTTGACAACATTTATACTGCTGGAGGAGCTACCACTAGGGTTAAGTAATGACAAGGGTCATTAATATACGGTCGGTCGTATATGTCCATATCTTTTAAGTAGTTGGCTGTTGATCAGTATATATTTTGGTTATTCAAAGGCTTATCTTGACTCTTATTTTGGCAAAAGCAGCTAGTGTAGTGATAGGGACAATTAATACCACAGTCCACAGAGATTGCAAAACGAGAGGACTCAGGAGGTGGCAACTGGCAATTTCATGCTTGCATATTAATTAATTGTCTGTTCATCTAATGTGTAGAAACTTTGACTTTGAGAGAAAGAGAGAGACAGGAGGAAGGGCAGCTGAGCTGAGTGGAGAAAGCTATACGTGTTGAGAAGAACTGTATCGGGAAATTATTTGCCATCTCTAAGATGGATACTATTTTTATTTTAAAATTTAACAATTTTACTTTTTATGGTTTTTTCGGTATTTTTAGTGTGAATATTCACCGCACATTTTCTTTCAAGGTGAAATATTCACCAGTCATACGTGCAACTAACACTACGCCAAGACCGATTCAATCGAAATTATGCATTTGCCTGCCTATGTTAGGATTCAAATTATTTATATCCACATTGATCTAAATATTTACTCCTAAATTATGAGTTGTACATTTATGACCATAGTTTGCATGAGAAGAGTGTCAATTATGAGGTTGGAAAACAGATGCTCCTGGATTAAAATGGAGATATAACTATTTAAATTTAGGATATGCAAATACTAGCTTGGGGGCTATTCAGAAGGAGAACTTTTTCCTTCTCCAATTTTCTGCTCCATTTCCAGTTTTCATTCTTTATTAAAAGATTAGAAAAACGTGTTCGTCTCTTATAGTTTCACATTATTTTTCCAGATTAAAAAATCGGAAGATATGTTCAAATTAATTAAACACAATTCATGTCTACATCTCCAAAAGCCCAATTTATTTCATGCCAGGAAACTCAAAAACAAAAGAAAATTGAAGATTAAACATAAACAAAACATGTCAAAATGGATTTTTAAACTAAGATCTACATAATGGGTAGCAAATAGCATTAGAATCTCAAGATTAACAAACTCATTTTGAATTGATCCCACATAATCCACTTTAAAAACAAACCATCGTTTCTTCAAACTAAAACCTACCAATAAAAACCATGACAAATCATCTGATCATAAGCTTACACACCAACCCAATCCCAGTGTTATTTTAAGCTCTGGGAATTGCAGGCAAGAAGGGCAGATGCAATTAACGCAGACAGTAAAGAGGGAAGTGGGTAGGGTTAATGAAGAGGGTGAGGCGGAAACTCAGTTAAGGTATATATAAATGTCAGCAGGCTAAAAGAACCAAACCTTTTTTTGTGTTTTGAACTCTCTTGAACACGGAAAAGTTAAATTCTACGTATTTCATTGAAAAAATGCAAAAATTAGTAAATACTAATAATGTGATTTTTTTTCGTAACAGTAAAATAAAAAAAGAATAATTAACAGAAGTTGGATAAAAATATTTGATTAAATATTTTTAAAAAATTGATATATTTAAACGAAAAATTATTAAATTCTATCTATTTACTATGTACTCCAGAAAAGATGAAAAGTTGGCATACTGATATCATAATATTCCCATTTTCTAGTACATATTATATGTCAGAAGGACTTGGAGCTGGGCCGGTGTCAACTTATACGAATCCTTAGCTTAGTAAGTCCGTATTTATCTTTTACGTGATATTTGATTTTCTGGTTACCTGATATTTGATAAAGTTTAAAATGCATCCCTAACTTTTGAGGAAAGGAAATCCAAAAAATATATCACACCACACGTCCATTTTCTATCAGTTAGTTTTTTTTTAAAAAAAAAATTAAGATGGACGATTAGGAATTTGGCATGCTTGTTCGCTTGGTTGGATTTGGAGGGATGAGGCGTTCTTACATTCCTTGTGTAGAGATACATGTTAGTTTTATTAAATCTAATGGGCTAATTTTTTTATTCATTAGCAAGATGCTGTTTAGTACGGACTTTGAATAACATATCAATATGGATTAACGCTCGAGACTAGAGGCTTAAGGCCACGAAGATTACCAAATAATAAATGGCAGAATTCATGCTTAATCTTTAGTTTATTAGGATATATTGATAGACTTCGCCTTTTTCTTTTTTTTTTTTTTTATAACGCGAGTGTCCAGGTCGGTTTATGCGCACCTCGACTAATCCCGCAGATCCCGAAGTTAACAACCATGTAAGTCTCCGGTGGCTACCGAAGAGAGCAATCAAAACTCGAACCCGAGGCCACAAGAGGAGCAAACCCTTTGGTACCAAGTCTTTGCCGCTGCGTCACCCCCTGGTGGTTTAGACTTCGCCTTCTTGACTTTATGGGAATGTAACCATAGCCCAAGGCAATCTTAATCACATCTGTTTCATTTCAGAAGATGTAAAAAGAATTTTCATCACAAACTTGAAAAGAGGGAGAAACTAGATGACCAATTCACCGCATAAAAGGTACCGAGATAGTACATATATCCCGAGGTAGTTGATGGGATTATCACCATCATCATAAGTCCTCTCATTACAACTTTGTTATTGATTTCTCACCGGAAACCATGAACCTCTCTAGAGGCACATTATTCATAGACCAGCTACATTTTGCACTGAAAATCACAGGTACTGACTAGCCAGTTTGCCCTCCTTGACAATGTAATTTTGTGGAGGAAAATCTTCACCCTTGAAGTATCTATCAAGCATGTCCTTAACTCCAGCAGCATACCGCAGCTGCACAATTTCCATTCACGATTTTGAGTTGCATTCAGAAAATGATGAAGATATTACTGGAAAAAAAGGAGGAAAATTTTAAGAGCAAAAAGTACCTGTCCATCTATAGTGGTTCCAGAAATATGGGGGGTCATTGCATGATTTGGCATGTAACGCCATGGATGGTCCTTTGGAGCTGGTTGCGGATTCCAAACATCTCCACTGTAACCTGCAAATCACATGTTAACAGAATTAGGCACAAAGGCAAATTGATAGTTGGTGTTTTTTTGATCGAGGTTTTGGCATCCTTCTGGCCGATCCAAGTTGCATCAAACTAACATTATCATTGACCTCTTTTTTTTTTTTTTTTTTTTTTGCCGTTAAATAGCAGCAATAGCCTTTTATTTTCAGCCACTGATTAGTTTAGAAGAAGAATCAAGAACTATAACCAGGGAACATTAAATGATTGTCAGCAACACTCAAAACAGACAGGGAGCAAATAAGACATATTCAGATGCTAATTTTAGACAGTTTTTTTGTTACCTCCAATCTGTCCACTGGAGCAGGCATCGACAACTGTTTGAGTATCCATGATTGCTCCTCGGGCATTGTTAACAACAAGAACTCCTTTCTTCATCTTTGCAATCCTTTCTTTATCAAACATCCCCCTAAAAAAAAAAAAAAAAGATTAACCACACCAATGGGATTAATTTGAATAACATGAAAGAAGCATGGGAAACAAAAACACTGTTTGCAAAACCATCGTCCCATACTAGGTAGGTTGCAAAGCACTATACAATCAACATCACTCATATAAAGCTGTATGTTTCCTTTGGTTACGTTATCTAACTTAGCTCTTGCATATATATACTTAATTCAACAACACTATGAACAGAATGCTTCCTACATATCATATAACATAGCATAGAAGGTTTTACAAATCATAAACCTCTTGAATGGCTATGGAAAACTACAAAGGAAAAGTTCAATGGTTGACACATCATATAAACATTAGTATAATTGGGTAGCATGCCAACCAGACCATTGATGGCTTTTCCAGCATAGTTTTCCATAACCATTCAAGAGTTTAGAATCCAGTAAACAGAAGCGAAACGATCAGGTGCCAGTTTTAGTAACAGAGATGAAATTAAAAATCCTCAATATTTATGCCTGCAAGTTGATCTTGCTGTTCTCTTAGGTCATTTTCAGAAGGAGGAAAGAAAAGGTCTAAAGGAAGCAAAAGATCCAAACTTCTATATTTAAATTTAGTTGAAAATCATACCTTGTCTTCTCCGTAAGTGGCGTGTTGATGACAACTACATCACATTTAGAAAGCATTGAATCAAGATTCTCCTCAAACTTTGCCCCCGTCTGATTCTCCAATTCTGGCTCCATCTTAAGTCTATCATGATACAGTAGATTGCAATTGAAAGGCTTTAACCGTTGAAGTAGAAGCCTTCCAATGCGTCCAGCACCAACAGTTCCCACTGTCTTTCCTTCAAGATCATAAGCTCTGTAGGCGATACCTGCCACATTCCACTCCCCATTGATAACCTGATGATATCCAGGTAAGAAATTACGCACAAGAATAAGGATTCTCATGAGTTCATCTTCTGCAACTGAGACGACATTGCTTCCTGTGACCTCTGCAACAGTTAACCCAGCAGCCGCCGCTGCGTTCAAATCTATATGATCAGAGCCGATTCCAGCAGTGAGAAGCAGCTGAAGGTTTTTTGCCCTCTTGATCCTTTCTGCCGTAACATAGGCGGGGTGGAAAGGGGTAGTAATGAGGACATGGAGATCAGGAATGTGCTTTTCAAGTTCTGTGAAAATTACACAGCGAGGAGAAAACAAAATCAACAAACTGACCATACTAATATTCTTGGAAATAAAATGCACATTCTCTAACAATTGTGTTTACAGAAACAAACTATTTTTAACAAACAAGAAAAAAAAATTGAGATTTAGAAAGCATCACAGCTAAATCATATGTTATCTTTTTCTTGTTCTTTTTTTTTTCTTTTCTTTTTTCTTTTTTTTTTTTGGGGTTCAGTCAAATGCTATCTTGAAATCTTTTAATGCCATCGCTACGGATAGGCTATAATTCTTAATGGAATTAGTTGAGGATTAGTGAGCGTTTGGCTTGATGACTCTGCCTTCCACCAGCCAAATGCTTATTCTCATTGAAAGAGAGAAGCACTTAATATCCTATACATTCAGGAATGCAACTTGAACCAAGAAACTACATGCTTAAACAATAACACTCTTGAACACACTAGTATATTTGGCACGAGCGAAGATATGAACAATGATTGTCATTGGTGATCATAAGCTAATTTTCAGCATCTTGTACATAGTACTACTATTGAGGATAACTGCATGCACAACTTGCATCTACGTGGAGGATTACTTCGGTTTATGTTATGCCAGACGCGTAAAATGCTGTGCAAAAAAATATACATACTCACCACAATCCGGTCCTTCTTTGTCATCAGTGACAATGTACTGGTGGCCTTGCGATTCCAGCCAGTCACGAATGCCCAAAGCTCTTTCCAAGCAACCCACAAAGTTAGGATTCTTTGAAGCATATTCATTTGCTTTGTAAAACACCCCAACAATTTTTTTGCTTCCTGCAGAAGCCTGTGAACACATGAAAGGAAAAAGCCTGTGAATACATGGCAAATGCAGATTTTTATGTTTCTTTTTAGTTAGCAATGAAATTACACAGCGCTTAGAAAGAGAATTTTTTTTTTTTTTACAATTTTTAAAAGGAATTTCAGGGACTAATTAATTAATTTTGATAAGCTACAAGGACTAGGTTATGATTAACTCTAATACGTAATTCAACATTTTTAACTTTTCATCCTGTAGGGTCATATTCGGCATTCTAAGAAATTTTACGAGAAAAGGCTACGGTAACCACATGGTGCATCAAAGACGAGTCAGAACCACGACTGAGAAAAGACTGTTAGTTCACGTGTCATTAGCAATGACTGAGAAGGGATGCACTCGTAACGTGAAAAAAGTCACAATTGCCCCTGTACGTTAGCTAAAAAGTCACTCTCTACCTGACAAATGACATCGTAATAATCCAGTTCAAAAAAACCCAAAAAATAAAAATCAACTTCATAATTCGAAAGTTCACCACACATGCAACGCGCGATCCGATTTCAGACCGTTGAATTGATGGAAAATTTTCAAGATTTTTTTGACTGAAATTAGATTCTGGAAGTAGTAAAGAATTAGGCAGCAGAAACTAAAGTGAAAAACTGGAAATTGGGGAAATAGAATTGGTTTGCTTACATGGAGAAGCCTAGTTGACGAGCCAACACTCCCAACTGATGATGAAGGAGACGAGAAAGCTCGGATAGCAGAGGTAGCAGCGCGCTTCATAGCCATTATTTTATGGTTATTTGAGCTGAGATTTTGAGGGGTGAAGTGTAGGGGGAAGCGAAGTGAGATTTTATATATGGACAAGGGGTCGACTTCAGAGTTGTTGGTTTGATAATAAACTCAATTCCAGTACAACTCTATTATTTATTTACTGTAGATTCCATATATTTTTTTTAACGTGGCAAAGTTTAGTTTTTCTTTTTCTTTTGATCATTTTCCTTTTGACTTCTTCTGGTAGGGGAGGCTACTTTCTCTCATTGCAGTTCAACAAATATAGTGTGTTTAGTGGCGTTATTTAGCTGAATGTTTTTGTGTTTTTTTTTTCTTTAATGATTTTACACTTTTATTGCAAAATATATATATATATATATATATATATATATATATATATATATATATCAAATGTAGGCACTTATAAAGTACTGAAAATGTATTACTAAAAGATAGTCTAAACGCTTTTGCATTTTGGAAAAAAGAAGTCTTCAATAAAGCCCATCTCAAATTGGTGTTTCTTTCTAAATTTGGAAATAACCTACTGTATATGCCATTTTCCTTGAAAGTAACTTAACTAATTTTTAATATATGCTAATCCATATTATTTTTTTATTTTAAGATGAGATTAAATTTCACAATAAATAGATTGAATTAAGGATGAAATTTACTCGAGCATAAGATTTTGAATTGTAAGGATGGATACGGATATTTTAACGTAATCGATTGTCTATACTTTATTTTGGGATGCGATTTTCCTTGAATGTAACTTAACTAATTTTTAATATATGCTAATCCATGTTATTTTTTTATTTTAAGATGAGATTAATTTACACAATAAATGGATTGAATTAAGGATGAGATTCACTTAGCATAAGATTTTAGATTGTAAGGATGGACACGGATATTCTAACTGGACCGATATCTATACTTTATTTTGGGATGCGATTTTCCTTGAATGTAACTTAACTAATTTTTAATATCCATATTATTTTTTTTTATTTTAAGATGAGATTAAATTACACGATAAATGGATTGAACTAAGGATGAGATTCACTCGGCATATGATTTTAGATTGTAAGAATGGATACGGATATTCTAACGGGACCGGTGTCTATACTTCATTTTGGGATGCATTAGAGAAATTGGCTTAGTGAACTTGAAACGAGAGTCCACTAAAATAAAAAAAAATCCCGAAATCTCTTTCTCAAACCTCTCTCACTCACAAACTAGACAAGCACCTAAAAATGTATTTGTTTGAACTTTAACCACCTATCTATCCGTCACATGACTTACATCTTTTTAGCTTGTTTGCTCCTCCACCTACGCCTCTCACTATTTACACTTTTTATTTTTTATTGGTTGACGTTGCTTCTACAAATCATAACACTAGCCCTTTACATCTTAATTGCTTTGCTAATCGGTCATTTAATTAGTTTTTAAGAACCCCTCTACATTTTGGAGACCCCACAAAGGAGTTCGTGATTGTGAAGAACAATGGTTCCTTTTAAGACAACCAAGAAAAACCAATTCTACTATCATCTCAAATGCCCATAGCAATACTAATACTCGCATGATGATAATCATAATACCGACACCACTAGTCCGCTTAACACTAAGAATGCCAACAACTCTCTAAACTCTCAAATTGGTAATGACAGCTTGCCAGCACTACTAAAAAGTGGTCTACCTTGACTTGTTGTTGAGGCCCCTGCCATGACTCGTTTCAAATTTAAGTCTTTAAGCCATGACCAAAGTCTTGAAGGTTTTTCAAGATGTTTAGTTTCGACTATAGCAAAAACAATAATAGATGTTCAAAGTCCTTTAAGACAACAATATCGTATTTACCCAAGTTTTTAGTAACATCACATAATTTTTATCTACTTAGTGCAATCCCTTACACCGTTGTCCCTCAAATTATGACACCACCAACTATTAACGTGATGATCATTCCATGTTGTTTGTTTAACTGGATGATAAGAAAGACATTTCTCTATCAAAAAACCATCATACAGGTTGTTCATAATCACCAACCACTTCATTATGTTGCTACTTTTAATAGTCAACGCTAGCATAATCAAGTGGTTCATGGTCATGTACAACTCCATGGTGGTTGTTTGATGAAAAAATATTTTTCCTATCATCTAATTAAACAAACAACATAGGATGATTATCAACATTGTTAATACCTAATTTCTCTTCCATTGTTTTCTCTTCATTATTCTAAAAATTAATAAATAAAATAAATACAAAAAAATAAAAAAATACCAAATATAAAAAATAGGAGAAAAGAAAACAATTAAAATAAGTAGCTTAAATTATTTTTTAGAGGTTTAATTAAAAATAAAAAATTTGAGAACCAAAAAACCTAATCAATGGCAAAATTAAAAAATCAAAAAACTTGAATTGTTAAATAAAAAAAGAGGGATATGATTGAAAGCAATTTAAGAAAAAGCCCTAATTAATTGTAATTTAGGTGCTACTTGAAGTTCAAAAAACCTAAATTACATTTAATCCGATGAATTAAGAGGAATCGAGAACTAAAATCAATTTTTATCCAAAAATCCTAAATTCCACCTAAGAAAACTCATCTTTCTCTTCACACCCACAAGCCATCATCTCTCTCAAAAAATTTCAATCACCATTTTCCTCTTTAGCTAGAATTTTAAGCTCACCCCATCATTCAAAACCATAAAACACCATGATCCTTCCATCACCCAAGCTACCACCACCTATTTAAACCACTATTAGCCCCTCCAACTTGGGCAACCACCACAAGCACCCCCATATATTTAAGTATCCTTCATCACTCAAAAAAACTCATAAAAACCTTCAAAACACCTTCATACAAAAAAAAAACTAAAAAAGAAAAGAAAAAGAAAAGAACAAGTCAAATAGCCCCTAAAAAACCTAGTAGACCCGAATAGCAACCCTCAAGACCTTGTAAACTTCATCTCCCGAATCTTATTTGTCATGAGGAAGCTTATAAGAAATTTCATAGAGGCAAACTTCTTTTGGATCAATTCTAAGTAAGATCCTTATCAAGTTATCATATGTCAATTCAATATATTATCACATTTCATGAATGACATCAATTATAGGTTCATGCATGAGACTAAGGAAGAGTTTATTTATAAGGACTTATCATATTTGTAAAAATAAGGGTTCTTTTAGAGATGAAAAATTATAAATTACATTATGTTAGATGAGTTAAGAATAAAAGAAGCAAAGTTAAATAATCACACTAATAAATATTTAGCCATAACTCGGATTATCACCATGTTTCTCTAGATATGAAGGGAGTCGAAATGCTTGGATTTCTAGTGTTGACATAGATTTATAATCGGTCTAACCATCGTATGTTTTTGAAGCATTGGTAGCGATCCTTTATTTGTCATCTACCTTTCATTATTGCTCGCTCATGTTATTCATCTTCTTTCGATGTTTGCATTTGCTTAGGAGAACTTGTCTTTGAAATGTTTTTCAAAATTTCAAAAAATTATTTTTATTTGTTTTAACTTTAAAGGGTTAGGTCGTCTGTTTGAAAGTTTTCTCATCAATACAAGTTGAATTATTTTTTAAAAAATCATGGAGACGTTCACAAGAATGTAATCTCACTAAAGAAAATGTTTGACTTACTTAATCAAAAGCATCGAGCAATGCCAAAATGCAATTCTCATGGTGATCTTTTTTTTAGGATAAGATGAGAAAAAAAATTGTTTGGATCATAAAAATTTTGAAAAGAATTCGTATCTTCTTACGGGTGATTGAAAACATTATAGTCCTAGAGCACAACATGCTCGGATGAATTTTAAGAACTAAAATAGCTTTTAAAAAAAGTTTGGCTCAAATGGACGGTTTTGCATAAAAAAAATTGATTCATTTCTTTCTTGCCCCTAGTTACTTGATGAAGATTTATGATTAAATATCACAAATGATGGTCCGTAATACATAAACAAGTCAAGTTTTATTCAAAAATATTTTTTTCTTTTCATTTGAAGCTAGAACTCATCAACACAAACAAGCCATATTTGATCGAAAGGGCTTTCACAGGTATATAATATAAGGCTAGGCTTTGATCGATGAACGAAATGATATAAAAGGCTCCAAAGGTGTTTAAGGGTGTAAAGACCTAAGATCATTTAATTTTTTATCGAGATCACATTGGGCATACTGCCTTGACTTTATCATCTCATCAATTGATCATATTTTCTAATCTAAGCTCTTCTTCCATGTTCACTCTTGTTATCTTTTTTCTTTTTTTTGAGGAATTTCTAACTCTTTCTAACTTCAAATCATGATACGGATCACTCTAGATAACATTCTTTTTTAACTTAGTCTTTCACTTTTGTTTTTCATTTTTTTTCAAATTCATTCTCAACAAGTTTTTATTTTATGAACAGTGATCATCATTTATTTTTTTTTCATTTTTTCTAAGAGAACATCCTTAATCATTCATAAACTTTAAAATTTTCCTTAGTGTCAAAGGTGATCCTAGTTTAGATTATTATCGAAAGAAATCCTATAAGCTATTAGACAATAAGGGATATGTTTTTTGTTTGTCGAAAAGTATACCAAAAATGACATTTTTTCATGTCAAATATGATCTTATTCGGGCTAATAAATTCTATTTTATTTGAAAACTATGATTGACTTATAGATAATAAGTGATGGATAAGGAGGGTTTATGACGTGAACGTGTATCGCTTATCATCATTTAAGACATCAAGTCACTTATTTTTTCATATTGGGCATCGATGAATTATTTTAGGAAAGACTCGTCCTGAAGGATTGGATAAGAATATGAAAGGAATATTTTATGACTCGAACATCCTCTAGCATTTACATGACATGTTTTAAAAGTTGATCAATGTTGAAAGATTTTATCATTTTATTTAGTTTAATTGGATATAAAATGACAATGATACTTTCAAATAAATATCTCTTCATTTCAAATTGATAATAAAATCATGCCAAGATAATAAGAATTTTTTTTCAAAGAAATGACCTAATTC